CTCTCTCCCTCTCTCTCTCTCTCCCTCTCTCTCCCTCTCTCTCTCTCTCTCTCCCTCTCTCTCTCTCTCTCTCTCTGTGAGGAGAGTGTGATGTTATTTATTGGACCGTAACCATGGAGGCGTCACCCCGGCAACAAAGCATCACCAACAAAAGGGAGGACTCCATTCATCCAATGGGGAGGAAGAGGAGGGGGGAGGGGGAGGAGGAAGAGGAGGAAGAGGAGAGGCATCCCCAAAGAGAGAGATCTGCAGTTTAAAATGAGCTTGAACAGATTTAGTAAAAAAACTGCAACAATGGCCGACATTTCACGGCTCCTCCAAAAAACATCTTTGCAGAAGTCGAATAGTCCATTTAGCTTAGGAACCTTCCTGACGGAGTGAAATGACCCGGAAGTCCCTCAGTGGCAGCCAATAATGTATGTACTGGCGACCAGGGGGCCGCAGATTCACTTGGAACACACACACACAAATTCCGTGTATTGCATGTAATTATTAACAAATATACTAAGTCTGACATCTTCATTGACATTTTACAATCTTTCAGGGAACATCCTCTAAAAAGCTCACTAAACAAATATCAGTTCACAGAAATGTTATTTAATTTTTACGAGTGGCATGTTTGTATTGAATAGGTTATTTAACATTGGAATACAACTATTTTAAACTATTGGAAAGCACGGATTAAGATGACATAAACATGAAGTCATGAACACTAACCCGGACATTAGTTGTCGAACTTGTAGTCTGTCTCTGCTGACGCACCATAAGGGGAGGGTCCACACAGACACCTGTCAGCCCGCTCTCTGCTNTGTGTGTTCAGTTACACAACACTTTCGATTTGTAACACTGTGTGTGTGTGTGTGTGTGTGTGTGTGTGTGTGTGTGTGTGTGTGTGTGTGTGATCTCTAACTCCCTCTTCTTAACAACATGGTATAAAGAAGATGCTCTAAACTGGAACTCAACGTCTTGATATATAACAACACATATATATTTATTCAATCCTTCCAGATCCTCTACAGCAGGGATGGGCTACTTGGATGGTGGTGGGGGCCACATAATGTATGTACTGGCCACCAGGGGGCCACAGATTCTCTTACACAAAATTACATGTATTGTATGTAATTGTCTAACTTGAACCTGACTCTGCTGCTCCTCAGCGCAGCTCCCCCTCCCTCCCTCTGACATTATGAATGAAAAGCGTATAGTAATTATTGATGACACGGCAGGGTCCGTTTGTTTCCATCTGATTTCAAATAAACAAAGTCTTGGTTTTTAGAATATTAAACTTGTTTCACCAAATTCAGATGATAAACACCACTTTGAAGCTTGTCAAGGCATAATGACAAGCGGCAACTTAACGTAACAGCAGGCACAACAACAGCCGGTGTTTCTTGTGAGTGTTTCCCGGGGAAACAAACACAATACACACAAACGCGTCAGATTATTTTGTGGTATTTGGCTGCCGAACGAAATCATGTACGCAGCTCGCGACGTAACTAGGAGTCTAGTGGACGGCATCAGTACTACAAGTAAAACAATTAGAAATAAAATAAATTATTATCTGTTCCTCGTCCCTGGTCTTGATCAAGTGCAGATGAACTTTTTGGTTATGATCAACGTCTCGCGTCGACTAGGAGCTGCAAAACAACTTTAGATTAACTTTTAGGCAAATTTGGAATCTGATGAAGGAATCTGATGAAAATGTGGATTATAATCTAAACCTATTCCACTAAAATCCACTATATATTCCATATTATTGTCCCTTATACAATCAGTGGTCACTAAACTACATGTAAGTGCTATTAAACACTGCACAGAAGGAGAAGAAATATGAATTTAGACTTGGAACTGAATAGCGCTTATAATACTTTTTGTTTAATTTGAGTTTTAAGATCCTCTTCCTTTTTGGGATTTCTACTTTCCTCGCACTCCTCACAAAGCATTAACCACATGTCTTTAACAATACAAAGTCAAATTGAGAGCATTATAGTGCCGCTGAGATGAGGACTGTCTCACCTGGTGACGGTTGTTTAGTTTCTTTACTCTGTATGTTAAGATGTGCAGTGAGCATCTGGGCCCGAAGGAGCTTCATTTTCTCTAATGGGGGAACTAAAGAGATCTCTGAGCTCCAGCTCCCTGAGGCAAGAGACAGCGGAGGTTGTAACGTTCAACTTAATGACGGAATGAGCTCTGTCAGAGTGCAGGGAACATTAAAAAGGACAAGTTAGAAAATGCAGAAAGGAGATGCTTGTGGATGCTTCTCTAATTCTGCTGAGGTGTGCAACGTAGTTTGATTTTTGAAGTGCAATAACAAAATAAAACTGACTTTCTGGTTGCATTTGATGGTACAATTTAAGGCTGACATGGCAAACTAGATTTAGGAGACTGCTAAAAGACAACAAAAATGCATTTGACTTCAAAAACAACCCAAATGAGTTAGTAGTTTGCACGTGATTTGTTTCTGATACATGTAAAAAAAAACAAGATTTCTAACTTGTTTTGATTGGACCACATTTGCATTTCCATCCATTCAGCATTCAGTTCCTGCATCAGCTGTCTGCGCGCCTGAACTTCCTGCTGCTTAATGTATGCTCACTGTGCGTGTGCACGACCTGTCTGAAGTGATTCCTGACGGCCTTGTTTAATTAGCAGCATGTGTGTGTGTGTGTACTTTTATACATATTCATCCGGCCGCACATTTCAGCCCCATTGATGTCGTAATTGATTCAGAAGGTTTTTCTAATTCCTGCAAAAGCAGTCGGAGAATTTCAATGACTTTGCATTTCGGGGGAAGAGGAGATGAAAGGAGGGAGGGGGGGGTGAGGAGATCTGAGTGTACACCTGAGGACGGTGTGATTCCTTACAGAGCTTTGTTGTTTCTCTTTTCACAAGTAAATTACACATTTAGGATTTATTAAGACAAGAAACAATTTTCAAATGGTGTATCCGCGAAGCCTCCGTGGAGATGTGCTCATTACTCTGTAGCCCGGGGCCATGTGCACCGCCTCTTCCTTCCCCCCTCTCCCCTTCCCCTCCGTCTGTGTTTTTCAGCGCCGCGTAGCCGTAATGTCACAGCGGTGCGTTCAAAGCCGCGACGACGATTTGGGCTCTCAGCAGGTGCCGCCCCGATGTCTGTTCAATTATTAAAGTGAGGGCCACATGGACGCATTACAGCCGCCGCACCCATTAGATAAAAAGACGACGCCTTTTGACATATTTCCTCACAAAGACGCCGCCGCTGCAGCCCCTTTCTTGTTGCTTCTTTTTGTTTTATTCATCACCGTTGTCATGTTTTTTTCACCCTCTTTTAGTATGCATGGAAATATTAAAGAGCCATTTGTTCCCTTTCAGTGTTGTGGGCACAAGAGCTATCATGATCCTTTTGATTCCCTCTCGTCAAACTGAGGTCACGTATGCTCCTTGTAGCTCCCCCGGCTCTTTTTAACTTCCCAGCGGCCCCCCGTCGGCCCAATCTAGGCATGAAAACGGCCGTCGTAGTGATAAATAAATCATGTGGTGGACACAAAGTTAAACCAGACACAATGGCTTCCAGCAGCCGCCTTCCTTCTCTTCTTCCTCTTCCGACAGCGCTCAGAAGTTGAGACTTTCAGAGCCTGATTGGTCATTACAGTGTCATCAAAGTCCAGCATCGAAAACATGTAACTCATGAATTCTTTATCTGGTATTTCTCCTTCTTTCCTTGTTCACACATCCTCTTAAACTTTACTTTTTTTGTCAAAGAGTGAGTGGCAGCGGGAAGTGAAAGGCAGGGTCAGATTTAAACCAAAAATCTCTGTTTTGATGTGGAAACCTACAAACATAAGTGTTCTACAACCTTTAATATCTTTTGAAAATAAGATAATTTGTTTCTCACTCTCACGTCTGTAAAGTCAATATGAGCCTGCAGCCGGTTAGCTTAGCTTAGCTTAGCATGGACAAAGTTATATATTTGGATCATTTATTGTGCAATCTGTCCAAAAAACGAAGTGTCAAAAATAAAAGTAGTTTACCATTTAACAGGGGGTAGTTTGGCCGGATTAATATTATTCCAGTAAACCGACGATGTAGATTACAATTTGTTTTAATCTTAAGCAAATGAAGTGGTTTGGATTTCCCTGCATTGTGAGTTTGCAATTTGATCAGTTTTAGTTATAACTAGATTCAGATTTTGGAAAACAAGCGCATATATATGTTTCTTACTTCAACATCTGTACAGTCAATATAAAGCTATAGCCTGGTTAGCTTAGCATAAATGCCGGACAAAGTTGTTATTTCTTGCAATATCTGTTTAAAAAAAACAATGTGTCCAAACGTTTTTTTTAGCCAGAACTATCTTATATAATTTGTCCAACAGCAGTTAAGATGCTAAAAGTTTGATCCAGGTACGAGTATTTTTGAAATAATTTTATTTTGAAACCTAGTTTTTCACCTGTCCACCATCAACTGCAATCGTTGGATGGCACCACATTGTGTTCTTCACGATATTTGTATTTTCTGTAGCTACATCCGTATAGGGTTATTATTCAGCAGGTTTCTTTCAAATTAAACCCAAATGAAAATATATATTTTGACATCGCTCTCTGCTGTCTTTTAGGAAAATGTAGAGTAGTATCAGCCATGCATCTCTCCACCCCCACAGCGATACACCCCAACCTCCCGTCTTCTCCTCCTCTTCCTCCTCCTCCTTGTTTGATTCTTCTCTGTGTGTTCTGTACATGCCAACAAATCCTAATTGCACCCCACACACTTTTCTTCCCACCGATGCTGCGCGATTCGTGCCACCAAATTCCTTGTGTGCTAATTAGGCACGCAACCACGGTGGATACACTCCTGACAGGTGCTGCTGGCCTGCCGGGGTCACACACACACACACACACACACACACACACACACACACACACACACACACACACACACACACACACACACACACACACACTAGAAGAGACAGAGAGAGAGAAGGAGAGAAGCTCGTGCTCACAGCATTAAAAATAAATGGAGAGGGGAGAATAACGAGAGAGGCAAGACGTGTTAATTTCTAGCTTCCATCTGTTATTACATAAGCACTGCCAACTACTAGCATCTCTGGAAGAACAGAGAAAGAGAGGAGGAGAGCAAGAAAACAGCCGTAACTGAAGTCCTCCTGCATGGAAGAAGAATTCCTCGGGGAGGCCGGCGAAGCACAAATCTGAATGATCGAGCAAATGTAAACTTGAAAGATTCATTTAAAGGTTTTGCTTCCAAAAGCGTTTGAACACACAACCTGGTGTTCCTACCTCGAAATGTGGCAAAAAACGGAAAAATGTGCCATCGAATATGTTTGCTGGTTTATAAGTTAGGGCCTCGAGAGAGCTGGATATGTTGAAAAGTGAGTTTTGAAGTTGTCTCAACAAAGTTTTTCTAAGTAAAGAAGTTTATAGATAAGAATCAAGATGGATGTTTAGGAATGTAAAGAAGAATTTTGTCAGAAAATGTTGCTTTATTAGGGCTAGTTCATTCAGGTGTCAGTATCACTGTAGAATTTGGCTTTCTTGCTGAAAGTGAAAAAGCACACCTTTCTCATGTCTGTACTTTAGATATGAATCTCCAGCAAACAGCAGGTTAGCTTAGCTTAGCATAAAGACTGGACACAAGGGGAAATTACTATCATAGCGTTGTAACGAAATATGTCTCCCAGCACCTTTAAAGCCAAGAAACACTGATGCTCTAATTCTGACTTTATACAAATATGAAGTCTGTGCAGAAAAAGCCCTCCACATTTCGATAAGAATGATCCCCTCCTGTTGCGTTGTTTGCTTAAACATATTTCCAGCAGCTCTTCCCCACTGAAGCTGTCCTGTACAAATAATCCAGTGACAGTGAAGAAGGGAAAACAATCCCCTGTCTGAGGAACAATGGGACGAGCCGAAAAACAAAAGCGCGGCGCCGAGTGACGAGCACCTCCAAGGTCTCCGCTGCGTGTTTGGTTTCGGGATCTTTCCCAGTGTTGATGTCCTGAGGTGGCGTATGTTTGGTGCAGCAGACGGGAATTCTTTCTTTGTTTTTCTGGACGGAAAACACACCAGGAGAGGCTGTGATTGTCTCAGGGACGGTGTGGATTCTTTCCCAGGGCGTGTAGTGAGTCCCTGCCAAAATACACTCACGTCAACCTTAGTATTTGCAGCATTTCAACACCTTCTGCACCAAAGCCTGTAGCTGCCCTGTCTCTTGGAACACATTATAATTGTTTGTTCAATTATTTCTCTTGGATGAGGCACCTGCACTTCCCCAAGTGAACTCCTGAGACCAAAGCACAATTACAGAGCAGCGGCTGTTTAAAGAGCGGTGGGTGGGAGAGTCGGATAAATACCTTTTTAGCGTTCAAGGTAACAAGCAAAGGGTGACAGTGAGAAGGCTCGCAGGGAGCAATTTCCTATTTATTTGCCTTGTGATTTGACCTCGCTCTTGACAAGGTTCCAGCTTATTACCGTGTCTGTCCTCGCTGTAATCGCGGGCCCATTACAAATGTTCAGTAGGCTGGAAGTGCCAGATGTGGGCGAAGGAGAAAAAGCAAGGCAGAGAGCAGTGCTGACCGGTGCTGATGAACCCTCTGAATCGTATTGTGAGTTTTGGAATGTCACAGATAAGTAGCCAAGATGCTTGCAGGAATTGTAGATTGTGTTTTATGACCTCCACTGGCTGCTTTTAATGAGAAGTTCTGTGCAGAGGTGTGAAGTTGTTTCATAGGAAGGAAAAAATAAAGTTTACACGCTCTGCTTCTGTGAGGAAGTCCTGCTTATCGTAGAGTACATGAGAACATGGTGTTATTCACGATGCTGTTTTATTAGCTGTATCAGGAGCTGCTTAGGAAGGCAGTGGGGTGTATACATGTGTTGTGATGTGAGGAAATAATCACTTTTCATTAATGATGGCAGAAAATGAATTCACAACAGGCTTTTATGCTTGTCTCTCTTGTCTCATAGCGATGCGATTTCAAAATTAAAGTCAGAATATTTGTTATTATTTCCCAGGGGGAATTTTTTTTTTTTGATAGTTCCTCCATTTTAGAATATAATAAAAAAAAAAAAATTGAAATAATATTTTATATTTAGGAATAACTGTATATCAAAAATAAGAATGTGCAATAAAAAGATAAAATAGAAAATATATGATATTTATATTTTTTAAATATAATAGAATATTAAACATAGGAGTTAAAGTAAGAATGTGGAATACAAATATTAAATTAAAAAAAATATGTATTAAAACATTTAATTACATAAACTGTCCAATAAAATGTACAATAAAACAATTAAAATATGTTTTATAAACACATATTTTTAAATATATAGGATCAATACGATACTAATGCTGAATTTCACAATAGTTACTGCTACGATATTTGATCTTCTGCATTAAAAACAATCCCTTCATTTTATGCCCCCCACCCCTCACTCCACAGGGGATGCTTGTACTCTCACAGTTACACTCTGTCACTCTGATGTGTGTTGGTGTGTGTGTGGGAATGACCATTTACATTCACAGCATATTTACTCCTGGCAGCTCATTGTGCACAGAGATGCCAGTGAGCGTTGTACGGCTCTGCTTTACACTGTGTGCAGTCACACAGCTATCACCCCCCCCACACACCCCTCATGCACACCTCCCACCTCTGTCGCCATGCTCTGCGCCCTGCATGCATTATTCACCGCCAAATTAAAATACCGTCCGAGAGTGAGGGTTGCATGTTAAGGCAGCTGAGTCGGGGAGGTGCCGTCACAACAGCTGAAAGTGTCTGTCACAGAGTTCTAACTTTTTATTTTTTTCCCATAGTTCTCGGCAGTGCAGCTGCCTAAATGAGAGGGATTAAGTTAACTCCCCGCTCAGAGGAAGAGCAGGCCCTGGATTAGGGCACTGGGCATGGACACAGAGAGTATTCAAGCAGGAGCCCCAGCTTTTTAAAAAAGAGACGTGGGGAGGCAGCGGGGCGCGGCCCTCGCAGGGCCCAACGGCCGAGTTGCTTGAACAAATACATTGACAAGTGTAACGCCGCACACGCAACATGGAAAAGTATGTTGGGGCAGAGAGGGGGAACACTGGCGGACACGCAGACAATCACAAATGCATTCTTCTTCTTCTTCTTCTTTCCTCATGCTCTCTATCGTCTGTCATGACCTGAAACGCTGTCTCGGGCATGGAAATAAGAGATGTTAGGAATTATTCATGTAGGAGCTATAATTATGGAGAATCACTTCTGTAAGGTGACTAAATATGAACCCAGCAGGTGCTTGACACTGATGTTGTTGCCTCGTTTAAAGGCATTATAGAATTAGATTATCATATGATATTCTCTTTGACAAACACTTTGCCACGTTGAATGTAGCAGAAGACATCTTTAAAAGGAAAAAAAAAGATGAATACATCTTGACTCTTGGCTGATGCACATCCTAAATGTAAAAAAAAACTTTTTTCATATAAGAAAATGATCAAAGAATCCATCTCCTTCTCTCACTTCTTGTAGTTTGATCACTTTCCATACAGTTCCACCTGATTGAGTAATGAATCTGGCTGAATGTCTGCCCTCACTCTGCGGTCTGAAAAACCCTTCACAGAGAAGGGAAAAAAACCTGGGAATGAGTGGAGATGAGAACAGGTGGTGAAACAGTGTGAGAAACACGAGGGAGGGAAAACAACAGACACCTGCTCGTGAAACCCAACCTGGTTCCTCCATCACATTCCTGCAGAGTTCAGCTGACAGCGGCTGGGAGGATACACTCAATCTCCTGCACTAAATCACTCCGCTGACACCGTGTGAGGGGAAGCGCATTCACGAGGCTAATACTTAGAGGGAATACCTTTTATAAAGTGGAATTAGACGCTGAAATATCCTGCAGGAATTCAGGAAATACATTATCAATGGATCCTGATCACCATGGCTAATGCTCGTGCTAATCAGGAAGCTAACAAATACATTATTGAGTGGTCAAGGCAAAGTACCAATACATAATTGTCATCATACACCAGCAGCATGTACTCAAAGTATAACATTAAAAGTAGCATTAAATGTAACAAGTCCCTCAAAATTGTACTTAAGTACTTGGGTAAGTGTACTCAGTTACTTCCCATATTTGAAACCAAGTGAATGATCTTTGCTCTCGGAAACACCTGCCCTGTGATTTCAGAATCTGTTGGATCAAACCGTTTTTCAGTAAATAATTAAGCACCTTAATCTCCTCTTGTCTCCCCCTCTGTGTTTGTTTCCCCGCTGCAGGGAGCTCCGTCCCGTCAGCTCCGTGACATGGAAGCGACGGTGACACCGGAGATGACGGACGTCTTTTTGTCTCCCGCAGTCAGGACGCCGCGCCGGGCCCGCGGATGACTGTAATCGCTCGGACAGGTGACACATCTGTGGAAACCAGAAGATGATGGGGCAGACGACTCAAATCATGTGACCTGCACCTCACATGCCTCCTCCTGTACAGTAAGTGTCTGACGGGCTTCACCGTGACATCACATGACATTTAAGGAACGGAATGGTGTCCTTAAATTGATAAGATACTGTACAATACTCAGGGATGATGGCAGAAATCTGGAGATCTTTTTTTATTTTATTTATCCTCGACAAAGAAATAAAACCAGAGCCCAAGCATGAGGTTGAGGTATTTACATAAAAGCCACTTGCTCGTGCCAACAGTACCACTTAAGACCACATTTCCCATCAGCCCTGTCTGAGAAGTCTCCTCTTCTCCTACATTAACATTTGTTCCTGTTATAATTCCTCCTTTTCCACCGTTATGAAAACGTTGACCTTTATTGAATAAAAAAAATCTGTTATTTTCTAATCTAATCCAGTGTTTAATAACTTTGTTGCATTTTTTATAATTTATCATAGTTAATTTGCTAATGATTCCTCTGTCGAGTCAGTGTTCCAGTTCATTTTAAAAGTGTAGCATAAGGTTGAGGTCAAGTTCTTCCACACTAAACGGAGAAACAGTGGTGGAATGTAACTCTACTTAAGTATAATTGTGGTACTACTTTACGTATTTCCGTTTTCTGCTGATTTGTACTTCCACTCGGGAAATATTTACCTTTTTCTCCACTACATACATTCAACACTGGCATTCAATTATTTCATAAAGAAATACACAATGTCGTGTCATTTACTACGAATGTATTCAGCAATATCCAAAACCTGACCCACATTAAGAAATTACAACATGAACTCTTATATATATTATCTAATGATAAAAAAACACATTTAGAAGAGCTATTATGCACAATCAGTACTTTTACTGAACGTATCTGATAATACTTATGTACCTTTACTTAAGTAACATTTAGAACTCATGACTTGTGATGTCATTTGGTTGAATTAGGCATTAGTCCTTTTACTCAAGTATAAAAGGCCATTGGGATGTAACAGTGTAGAGTGCACTATCTGAAGCAGTTATTTGTATTTTGCTCGACAAACTTTGGAGAAACTTTGTGCTGATGTTGGTCATCTGTGGCCCTATTAGCAAAACAATCAAAGTGAGAACATGTATGTGCTTGTAGGTAGATCATTAGTCTCAAAAATCCCCCCGCAACGCTGCATGCTCGCTCCCCGACTGTTTCAAAGAGCTTGTTTTGTGCCGTCCAATCCCCTCGTTGTTTATTAGTCGGGGCGAGCTGGATGGGCGCCGCAGAACCGAGGCTCAAGCCTTTGCGCTGGCTTCTCGTCTCAAACACATCTAAGCCGACGGAGCTTGTGATGGTCCTCTCGGCAGAGCAAAGAGCCACAGGCCGGAGAAGAGATGCTGCGAGCCCAGGGGAGGCGGGATCCGCTGCTATTTGTCAGAGCTTTCCATCGTCACTTTTCATGGACGGGAAGCGGCTGGGGGCTCTAATGTACTGGCGCCGTCTTCCTCCCCGCATGAGTGTTTTCTGTTTGGCTGCTGTCACTGAGAAAAGACACATAAGTACTCGCCCTGTATCTTTTCACACACACTTTCTCTCTGAAACACACACTCTGCGGACGGAGGGATGTGCTCTCCAGGGCTGACAATCCTCCCCGCTCTGTCTTTATCTGCTGGTAAATGTTGACAGACCACTGAACCTTGATGTCGGCCTGTGACAGGCTTAGCTGTTTGCAAAGTGTTGGGCTGAGGAAGAGGGGAAACAAAGGGGCCTCTGGTGTGGTGGTTAGCCATCATGGCTGCTCAGCTCGCAGTGAAAGGACCTCTAACACCATCCCCGCTCCGGCCGCTTCGCACACCATTAGGGAAATGGCTGCAGGCCTCTCTGCACCGCTCACATTAATGAGCGCCGTGTCAGCGTATCAGAGCTGATGTGTGTGACGAGCCAGGCCCAGCTCAGATCTTGAAAAACAAGAACGCTCAGGACAACATTTACTTCAGAATTGACTTTGGCCTAGTTTCTGCTGCAGCTGGAAACTTCAGCGTTGGGTTTTGGATGCGGAGGAATGCTCTTTTCTATCCCATCTTTTTACCTGACTGTGTTTCATTTAGAGATGAAGGGAAAGTCAACAATCTATATTGTTATTTTATTGCTATCTGTCCTCTGATTGTTCATTTGAGTTAAGGAAGAGTCAGAGTGGAAGCTGCCAAGACAGGCCTCCACCAAACCTACAGTACAGGATCCAGACCTGATGGTATTTTTCGTGCAAAAACTACATGTAGTCGATGACTTTCTTAAAGGACATCTTCTTCATATGTGGACTAATAAGCAAATAAATTATCAAGCTGACATTAAGTGCAAAATATATATATATATATTATTGTCGTTAAATATTATTGATGGTTGGAAATAATTAAAGAGATAAAGGCCTGGATGCGAGAAAACTTCCTGCAACTAAATAGCTCCAAAACAGAAGCTATTTTGGTTGGCACACCAAACCAGGTCCAGTCATCCCCCATAACCCACATTACCTTTTCTGGACAAAACATACCCCTCCCCACAGCAGTTACCAACCTGGGTGTTAGATTTGACAGACACCCACATCAAACACCTGTGCAAAACCTCCTACTACCACCTCAGGAACATTGCAAAACTCCGTCCCACACTCTCCCTCCCAGATGCTGAACAACTGGTCCATGCCTTCGTCTCCTCAANCCACAGCAGTTACCAACCTGGGTGTTAGATTTGACAGACATCTAACCTTTGACACCCACATCAAACACCTGTGCAAAACCTCCTTCTACCACCTCAGGAACATTGCAAAACTCCGTCCCACACTCTCCCTGCCAGATGCTGAACAACTGGTCCATGCCTTCGTTTCCTTGACTATTGCAACGCTCTCCTCATCGGGACTCCTAGCGGGAGCCTTCAGAAGCTCCAATATGTACAGAACAGTGCCGCTAGGATCCTGATGAGGGTGAGAAAGTACAACCACATCACACCCGTTCTACATTCCCTCCACTGGCTTCCTGTCTCATTCAGGATTGAATACAATATCTCACTGCTGACCCATCAGTGCATCCACGGGAACGCTCCTCCATACCTGAAGGAACTTCTCACATCACAAACCTCCACACGCAACCTCCGCTCCACAACTAACCATCGGCTTCGCCCCCCTAGGAACAAACTCCGCACAATGGGGGATCGGGCTTTCTGTGCAGCTGCTCCTCGCCTGTGGAATTCCCTCCCAGACCACCTGAGGACTCCACAGACCACTGAAGCCTTTAAAAAAGGCCTAAAAACAAATGTTTAGGCAAAAGTGCAGATCTGTAATGAGGACCCATCTCTGAAGAATAACACAAGTGTTATAACCTAAAGCAAAACAAATGTCCCAAACTACAGGAAGTACTTGAGGAGTAGTGGAAACAAGACTGCACTNTCCCCTCTCCACTTCCTGTGGGAACTGCGGTCACGTCTGATCGACCCTTTCGATGCCACAGTCTATGAAGACACTAGGTGAGGACACACAATGAGGTGCGGCGCTCGCTCGGGGTCTCGACCCGCCGGGGCTTTTGACGGTGACAGGGTCTTCCTCCGAGGAAGTCTCCCCTGACACATCGGGAGAAACAATAGATGCCGGGCTGGAGGATGTGAGGAAGCAGATTAAACCGGAGTCATCGGGGTTCCTCTGAATGAAGTTGATAATGTGTCGCACACGGGGACTGAGGAGAAGATTGGATTGCAGCAGAGGGCGATTGAAACATGTTCCTGGTGTCCATTGAGGAAGACCCTGCCTGCTTTAGTATCAAGCAGCAGCTGAAATAATGAAAGCTGTAATGCGAAGTTAGAAAAAATGGCAGAAAAGATATCAGCTTACGCAGTTCTGCATCCATCACTCACAGTTTAAAGATGTCCTGTGACCCCTTTGCTCTTTCTTTACTCGTTTCACATGCACTTATTTCCTCTTGCGTAATCAATTCAACACTACCTTATTGTCTCATGTTTCACAGTTTGTATGAGGAAGGCTAGTTCAGCATTTCCTGTCTGCAAGATTTGAATAGTTGAAACAGATGGCAGAACAATTGATCAGCTTTCATGCATGAAAACAAGTTGCGGCTTCAGACGATGAAGTGTATCATTTTTCTATTTTTAAAAGATGCACCAGGAAGTTGAAATACTGTATGTCAAACTTTCCGTATCCACCTGGGTTAGGATTGTCTGTTTTTTCAGCAGCTACTTGGACTTTGCACTTACTTTGAGTACAAAGGGTAGCCCAATGTGTAACAGGAAGTAAAGCAGTGTCACTTGTATTCATAATACCTGTTTCTATGAGCACTTATCACAATGCTCGTTTTACCCTCAGCTCTTGTAGAGCTCCTGCTGTTTCCTGAACGTGTAAATGTACACTTATTGTACAGGCCTGACTCCTGACCCTGTTTGATCTCAGTGGAAACACATCCAGGTCTTAACACGGTTTCACACCGCTGATTAAACTAACGCTGAGCTCATGGTTTCTCCTCCACATCCTGAAGGAAGCTGTTTTCTCTCCTCGTCCTCACACAGGCCTGTCCGCTTGTTTTTCTCTTTTCTTCCTCTCTCTTTCTCTCCTTTTCCCCCTCCATCTCAGGGAATTCACTTCACTTTAATTGTTTGACAGTCTTTTCCTGCCTTTATGCCACGGCCGCAGAAGGTGCCGAGGATTTTTCCTTCTTTTTTGAGGCATTAATAACATTCCGCTCCACTGATTCCCCGGGGCACAACCTCATTATGGCTTATAGGCAGAAAAAATAAACTGTCTGTAGCGCCTGGCAGCTTTTTCCCCTCCCTTTCTCCCAGAAATGAGGAGTCGGTGTAAAGTGCCTGCTTATAAAACAGTCTTCTTGTTGCTAACTAAAACACATGTCCAGGGTGTTATCTGTTTCCCTGACAGGAAGTGGCTGCCGGCTGCACACACACGCTGCTGTTGACGGCAGCCTGCACTGGGTGGCAGCACTGTGGGTGACATTTCACAGGAGAGGACTTACAGTGTGTGTGTGTGTGTGTGTGTGTGTGTGTGTGTGTGTGTGTGTGTGTGTGCGTGTGTAG